GTGACACTCTCACGCGCAAAGCGAGGCTTGGCACCCTTCAGTTCCGCAAAACCATTTTTGTTTTCAACACCAAGCCCCTAAATTTATATTTGTTTAGACCCTAACAACAATGTAAAAAAAAAAAAAATAAATAAAAAACATTTTTACACAAAAAAAAAGGGGGGGGGGGAGTCGGGTCAAGTTATATCCGCTTTTTTTAGACCCTTTGTTTTTTCTTTGCTATCGAAGGCGGGAAGAGGACACCAAGTGGGTGTATGCCTCTTTGAAAAGCTCGAGGCGGTAAGTGCACAGACAAGAATTAACAATGTCCTTCTCGGTTTTGAGTGACTACGACCATATTCATTATGTTACAACACCAGACAATGCTCCGTATACCCTAAAATTCACTAAAAAGAGATGTGATATGTGAAAGTGCTATTGCCACAAGCATCCTCGTTCGTTGCTGCACACTTATCTTCTCGAAAACAGAATGTATTTTTTCTTCTGTTTCTTTCACCTTACCCTGTTTTAAAAGCTACTTAATTTTTTGTAGTCCAACTTCTAGAGTTGGCCCACTTCATTTGTGAATTCCAGCCAGGTTATCTGCATCTCAGTCACCCCTTTTGTGAGTCAGCTTTTTGTGAGCACTTTCCAAAATGGTAATAGTCTTCCTTTCTTCTTCTTCCCGTTTTTCCCCCAGCAGGACGCATCTTATCTCAAGCAGATATTCTTACAAATAAAACAAAATGGTGGCTGACGTAGACTTGATATTCTGGGCTTGGGGAGAGAGTGAAACTCAAGAGTGGGGCCATAGCGCGGCTTACTTCGTTCTATGCCCTTCGCTGCCCGTGGCATCAGCGGACGTCTATCTGGAGAACACCGGAGTAAAATGCAGTCGATTCGTGCTCCGTGCGTTTTTAAACGGCACCAAAAAAGGTACACACGACAAACGTGCGTTTACATTTCCTTGTTTTAACCGACGTTCTAATTAATTGTTGTTATGAGTTTCCTTTTTTTCGATTACTATATTCATTTACTGGAAACTTTTATTTATTCACCAACGTCTCAACCGAGGCTCAACCTGTTCAGAACCAAAGGAAGGAGAATATCGAGCCAAACCTTATTTACTATTTAATTATCACCTTACTGTTACAACGATGTTTTGCTATTGCCTGGCAATATATGCCGGTATAGTAAGATGGGCATAAATCAATTCTTATTCTAGTTTTGGCTAGATGTATGATGACTTCTACAGCTTTGCGATTTTGAGAATCGAGAATTTTAGTCGATCGGTCCGATCACTCCAATAACGATACCCGATACTCCGCCGCCGCCTGTCCGCAAATGGGACAGGTTGCAACAATAAAAACTTGAATAACCCTCTTCCTTTTGTTTCTTAATTGAAGGCAATATTCTTGAAAGTAACGCCACGAAAGTAACGGATTACTTTTTGGGGTAACGGTCACTTACTTTTATGGAAGGGTAATTGTAATTGTAATAAATTACAATTTAGCCTTGAGTAATTGTAACTGTAATTCCTTACTATTTTTCAGTAACGTGCACAAGTCTGGTGACAACCCTCGACGCAGCGAAAACGGAACTCATACGGTTTTGTCGGGGGGAAACGAAACCCATTTTCGGCTGCCCACTTGCTCATTCTGTTGATTGTCAGTTGCAGTTGACGTTCGCAACTATACAGGTTGCAAGAAGAAACTGAAATTTGCACATCATCCACATACAGAGAATAAGACACTGTCGGTGGAATATTTAGAATATTGGTGCTGAAACCCGGGACAAATATTCATTAAAATAACTGGACGATATTACTGCTTAAAGCATGGAAATGGGCTTAATGGGACGATGCCCGTTTCAAGCTCGCACCGTGGCGAGAGAGGTTGGGACAGTCAGGTCAGGGAGGTTGGGACAAAAGGCGAAAACGAATCACCTGACTAGGTCCCCAACCCCCGTTACAGCACTCAGCAGCAGGGCACAGGAAATGAATCAAAAACAGCATAAATAAAAAATAAAACAATATCTGAGAAGATAAAAATATGACACTCAAAAATGTACAATCTATTTTGATGTGAACTATAATAGGAATACACACTAGGCACATTGAAGTATACCGTAAGGTATTTTTTGAAAAGAAACACGGACGCTATTGTCTGGGCTAATTCGAATACACAATAATTTCTGTTAAGAAGATCGGGTATCTGGTAGGATGTTTTTTGTGTACCGTAATTAGTTCTTATTTTAGGTTTTGAAAACTGCTGGTGTCTCAAATTGTAATTTGTTTGCTTAAATAAATATGTTTCGTAAAATATTGCGGGATTCGTGTTTATTTGAGTATGAACTAAAATTGCAACCTTTAGGCAAAAAAGATTGTCTGACGTTAATATTCCATGTTTAATAAAGCTAGGGGAAGTCGATTCAGTCCAAGGTAAATTATCAATTGACCTAACTGCGCGTTTTTGCAATGTAAATAATTGCTTAATATTACTTGCTGTAGTTGTCCCCCAGACCAATAAACAGTAATGCAGCCTCGAGTTCACCTGCTATTTCGCAGTATCGCCGCAGTTCTGGTGGTAGAGCTCTCATGCTCGGCCAGCCCGTAGAGCAGAACTCCAGACGTGACAGGATCCTTCCCGATCTCATCTTTGATCCGTGAGAGCGTGTTGTTGACGCAGGTAACAGATCCACTGTGAGAACTTCATACTCCAGAACGGCTTCCTCCAGGTCGGCAGCTTCCTTTTCTCCTGCTCCAGTAAGTGGCTTGCGTTACAGCACATCTGCCGGGTGGATCTTCTTTACCGGGATGTGGGAGATCGTTAAGCCATACTCCAGTAGTCGCATGCGGAAACGTTGCAGAAGAGGTCTGAGTTCATCTAGATGCTTCGTGGTGAGAAGTGGCACAAGGGGCTTGTGGTCAGTGTCAATATGAAATTGGAGCCCTAGGAAGTATGTGCGGAAATGGCCACTAGCCCACATGATGGCTAGTGCCTCCTTCTCAATCTGGGCATAGCGTTGCTCAGTTTCCGTTAGTGCCTTGGATGCATAACTGGTCATCGCTCGCCTTGGGACTCCTGGAGGAGCGCAGCACCCAATCCATAGGATGAGGCATCGACCAAGAGTGTCAAGTGGTCTCTTTGGTTGTACATTGCCAATCCCGAGTTTGTGATGAGAGCTGCCTTGGTCTGCTGGAAGGCTTGCTGCTGAGCCTCTCCCCAGTACCAGACTGCATCATGACGAAGTAGGTCTCTCAGTGGTTTAGTTTGTCAGCGATAAGAGCAACAGTAGCGGGCACGGCACGCACAACCGAAGCAGCAGTGGGAGCAGCGGACACGCTTAACTGCGCAACAACGCCGGTCCAACATGACGGATCAAAAAGCAGCGGTTCAAGCGGGAAGCAGCTACTTCAACCCGATTTCAACACAACTGCTGGAAAAGTTCGACTTTCACCAGCCGCACACGTGGAAGACGTGGTTCACGAGATGGCAACGCTACAGGATAATCACCGAGTTGCGTCTCCGCTCTCAAGAAACGCAAGTAAACACGTTTACGCCATGGGCCGCGAAGGGGAGGACGTTCTTTGTTCTTTGAAGCTGACAGAGGACGAAGGAAAGAACTACGAAAATGCCACCATGTACCGGTTGGGCAGGGAGTCAGTACTGTCCGGCGAGTTGGCGTTTATTGTTTTTTCCGGGCACCCCCCGTCTCCCAAGCGGTGGCGCCTTCTCTTGGCCACTCGCCTAACCCTCCGACACTTTGAATAATAAGCATCCATTCATTGACGTGCTGTAACACACTGGATAATTTCAAAAATATATTAACTTATTGGTGGTTCCCAGAACTGATGAAAAAAGTGGTTCTTTTGCTAAAGAGATTATATGGAAGTGATAGATTCCAATGTCTAATGCACTACAAGTAGCAATGCCAACGTGTCTAATTGTTTTTCTTCCGTATTCTATGTGCCTGCTTAAGTACCATTCACTTTACTTTGTATGAAGCAAGTTATGAAGGACAGTAGTTGCGCAGGCATGTAGAACACATAAAAAAAGCATTTCAATTTCGTGTCACTGGCGAAAGGCATTTAAATTTTGTGTCACTAGCGAAGAGCAATCGTGATGTTGCAGTCAAGAGGAAATTGCGTCATTTTCTGTTTGTTTTTAATAAGGCGTCACTTCCCGTACGTCGCAGGCCAGCATGACTAGCGGCAATGCCGCACACCTCACAAATGGCGCTGCACCCAATGAGCCGCCATATTCGCGCCTTATGAGCTTCCATGGAAGCTTTGGTACCATTTATACATAGAGCTTGGATTAGTGATGTGCGAATTATTTGCGTTGGTGGGATATAAAATAGACCGTGACGACAGCGGTTGTCCCTAGAAGAAATATAAGACTTCCGCCCCGTTACGTGCGGGGATTTCAACCCAGACTTTTTGTACAATGTCTTCTGGAGCGGCAACATAACAACCAAGGGGGGCTACTACCACGCGCAGACTGTCAACGTGCCAGGTATGCCGAAAATTCTCCCCCCTAGCATTCCTCTTTTTATAAGTAACTGGTTGATCGAAGTGCATATAACCAAATGCACCTTAATTCAACAATTCCAGAATCTGAAGAACTGTGCGATGTAGTGAGGTGAACGAAGAAAAGGCCGCTCTCAAGCGCAAAGTCAACAGAGTTCATCGAGATGCGCAAGAAGCCTGGAGTGGTGAAAATTAAAGGCAGCTTGCTCGGGTATCGGGTTCCAGTGCGCACCCTGCGGAGCTGCAGACGAACGGGCCCCTGTCCCGAAGCGATGAGCCGCGAGGCTCAGGCTTGTGAGGTGGAGTCTCAGGAGAGGTGGCCTTCTAAGAGCCCGAAAAAGAAGGCTTGCATGATCCCGTCAGTCCTACGCCGCTTTAAAGAGAGCATTGAGACTATGGACAGGCAAGCTCAAACAACTTCCTAAATACATCTTTACCCGCTGCCCTTTGACAGACATCCACAAGCTTGCGAGTGACAACGCCCCCTTGCTACTCTCGCCACGTGACGCTGCAGCCTTAGGCCACAGTTCACACAGTGAGAATAAAAACACTGAAAATAGACGAGGGACAGACACAGTTCTTCCTGCGTGAGCTGCAGTCTATCCAACACACTCTGCTAGAAGTACCTAGCCTTAACCCTTTACTGCACCTTGTTGCATATTCGCAACATAGCGATAAACGACGATAAAAACATCTACAAAATGCATTCAGTGCTAGTTCCGCACGTTGTTGCATTTCTGCAACATACATCCGCGAGGCGAGCCGTCCAGTGCTGCCATCTGTACTCAGGCGGCGAAACTGCTCTCTAAAAAGCGTGACAGCCACCACGTGGACGCTCAACAAGTGACACAGGTAAGCCTTGACTACTGCATATCACGTTCTATACAGTGTAATGCAAAACAAAAAATTTGTGACTCAACTTAATGTCCTGCTGATTATGTAAATACTAAAAACCTTAAGATTATCGACGAAGTTTGTCTTTGGAAGCAAAAAATAGCTATGTTGCACAGATGCAACAACGTGCACGACGGTGTTTTTTCTTCGTAGAGCAGACACAATGGACCCCAAACGGTTTTACAGCCGTGGAATTCCTTCCGACAGTGAGGACAGCGAGCTCTCCGGCAGTGACGATGACTCTGATTGTAAGTTAATGTTTTTTTCTGGAAATCCAACTTTTTTTCACGTAGAGAATAAAATTAGAAGCAGTGTAGGCTTCATTGACAGAGATTTTCGGAAGAGACCATCCTTCGTCAGGTGTAACTACACACAATTGCAAAGTTGTAGGGTTGTTTTCACGCTTTCAAAGAGCACACTTAGAACCGCCAGGGAAGATAGTCCCCTATACAATGTAGAATTTCTCTCCAAATTATTTATTTTACTGCTCATTGTATGAGTTGTGCGAGACGCTGTTATTTTTTGTACCCCAGATGTCCAACCCCCTGCAAAATGTAGTGCCAGTTCAAGCGAGGCGAGTACAAGCTCTGACGAAGAGGAAGCTCCCGCAAGCCAACCAGCTGATCAGTCATCAACTCAATCTAAGAGAAGAATTATCTGGAAGAATGCAAGCCTGATGCGGGATCCTGAAACAGTGAAGTTCACTGGACAAAATGAGCTTCCGCAGGAAGTTTCAGAGTTGGAAACACCTTTCCAATACTTCAAGTTCATCTTTCCAGGGGCTCTTATTTCGCTTATTGCAAATGAGAGCAATTTGTACTCAGTCCAGAAGGATGCCAGTAAGCCCCTCTGCACCAGTGCCGAGGAGATTGAAGTTTTTCTAGGCACCTGCATGTGGATGTCTATAATTCAGCTGAAGAACACTAGGTGGTACTGGAGTGAAGCTACCAGAGTAAGCCAAGTAGCTGACCACCTCACGGTGACACGCTTCGAACAGTTGAAGCACAACCTTCACTTTGTGGACAACAGCTCTCTTGGCCCAAGAGATGATCCTGATAGAGACCGGCTTGCAAAGATACGACCGCTCGTCGATGCTGTAAATGAACAGTTGTCGCTGATACCGCTTGAAGAGCACTTGTCTGTGGATGAACAGATTATACCTTTCAAAGGCGCAAGTGCACTGAAACAGTACTGTCCCCAGAAACCAAAAAAATGGGGGTACAAAGTATTTGTTCTCTCAGGAGTAAGTGGCTTCTCGTACAAGCTAGAACTGTACACGGGACAAGAAAACTCTGCCCCAAGACGTGCAGGAGAGCCTGACTGTGGAGCAAGCGGGAACATTGTTGTTCGATTGTGCAGGTTAATCCCAAGAGGAGTCCACCACAAAGTGTATTTCGATAACTACTTCAACTGTCCAACCCTTCAGGTGTACCTGGAAAAAGAAACCGTGCACTGCATTGGTACAGTCCGGATCAACCGAGTAACGGGTATCAGCATGCCATCTGACAAGGAAATGAAACAGAAAGGAAGGGGAAGCTTTGAAGAGAAGGTAGCGACCCTGGATGGCATTCAGCTGTCGTGTACAAGGTGGCAAGACAACAGAGCCGTCACCTTGCTGTCCACCTTTGTTGGGGCAGAGCCTGTCCTAACTGCGCCAAGGTGGAGCCAAAAAGAAAAGGAGAGGCGCGACATACCGTGTCCGTCGGTGATAGGCGCTTATAACAAGCACATGGGAGGAGTGGATCTCTTAGACTCTCTGATCTCCCTCTACCGCGCCCATCTCCGATCGAAGAAATGGTACTTTCGTATTTTTCTTCATATTCTCGACTTGACGGCTGTAAATGCCTGGCTGCTGTACAGGAGGAGTGCCGAGACTACTTCCGATCAACCAACACGAAAGCTCATGCCATTAGCAGAGTTCAAGGTGGACCTCGCCACGTCACTCTGCAAAGCAGGAAAAAATCAACTGAAGAAAAGGGGAAGGCCCAGCAATGAGTCCGTGGAGCAAGGCATCCAGCTGAAGAAGACAAGAGGTCCTTCAGCACCGTGTCCACCTCAAGATGTCAGGATTGATCAGGTATTATCACTGGCGAATTAATCTGTGTTACAAACCTCACTGTTCATACTTCTATGCTCAGGTTGGCCACTGGGTGCTTTGGAGTCAGAAGCGACAGCGTTGCAAGTTTCCTGGATGCAAGGGCATTTGTATGAGCTACTGCTCTAAGTGTGGCACTCACCTGTGCTCAACAAGCAAGAATAACTGCTTTCTTTTGTATCACACAAGCAAATGAGGCCACATCTCTCACTGATGTCTGTAAATACAAGTTTGGCTCTGGTTCACAAATTTTTAGCATTCGGCTATAAATATTTCGTTATTTCCATCTTGTTGCAAATATGCAACATACCTATCTTTTTTCGATATAAATTTTTCCGAAACTTTGAAATTTATTTTAGTGATAGTATTGTGATAACTGTGGTATTCTACTTCTGCTGGAATAAAATTGTGAAAAAATAAAAAGTTGTGCAGTAAAGGGTTAAGCCACTCGTCGACGCTTGCCGTCTGTGTTTTCTCCAAGACTTCAACACGTACAGCTGTTATTGGCCTCTTCGCCCAGCTGCCCGCCACGGCCCAGTACGTGCTGAGCGCCCCAGGCTCCGCCTGGGTGCGAAACGGGTGCGACGACAATGATGTCGAGGCCAATCCAGGTCCGGTTCGCACCCCGTTGAGCATGTCTGGGGTCGCTGCCGACTGTGGCTACTCAGACTGCTTTCCTCAGAATTTCCAGCAGCGGTCGTATGCACAATTTAATGCGGAGGAAGCGTGGTGTGCCAACATAAAAATAGCTTTTTTGTTGTTGTTATTGTACTGCAGTGATTTTACCAGTTTACATGTGGTTCTCAACAAATTCTGCTTTTTGTGTGAGTCCTTGCAACGAGACATTAGTTTTTATTTTTGCTAACATATCCATGTATGAATGTGTGCGTTCTACGCACTGATTATACTCATCAACTTAAAAAAGCTAGTTTTGCACATAATTCATGCGCTGTACGATGTAGTTCTGCCATATACAGCTGCTACAAAACAGAAAAACACAGTTCTTTTGCATCAGCACCTTCATTACACTGCTCAACAATAGCTTGCCATATTTTCCAAGGTCGATCTGGTAAGTCCTAGCACCAATACCAGACAAGCCATTGGTAATTCAAAAGGAGCCTAACAATGCCTTTCGGTTTGCGAGTTCGTGTGCATGCCATTCAGAGTGAAAAGCACTCCGACGAACTTTCCGTGATCTGTGGACCAGGTGTAACAAGGACTTCCATTCCGCTATGCCTACATTCACCATATTCTCGTTGTACTGATGGCATCTTCATATTCTAGTAGCTCTTTTTAAGCTGAGTGTCGTCATGCACTCCACAAAAAGAAGAGGTGCAGCAGATTAGTAACCATCCGAATGTTTAGCTACTTACCTACAGACTTATTTTTAATGTTGAAGCAGATTACAGTCATGCTGAGATGCTGGGACAAGAAGTTAACTGGACAAGCTCTCCGAACACTTACTCTCAACGCTCTTGATACAACTCAACTTCTGATGCCATGCTTCAACATGCATAAACCCTGTCCTAGAAAAAGAAATCTCTAAGGTGCCAATTTCCCGCACAGCTGGATCCGAACCGCAGCAGAACACCCTTTAGTCCAGGGTACCGTCCTAGGTCATACCGTTACTGCTGTGGCCGAGGATCAGTTGTAACCATGGTGCCACCTGCTCAGCGACCATGGTGAGGGATACAAGGATTCAGCGTCTGGCTGCTCCTCTTCAAGTGTCATCGTTTTGCACGCCATCTTACACTGATGACAAGTTTCCATATCAAAGTCATATAAAGACCTGATTGTCTCCTTAGTTAGGAATGCCAAGAGTGCAGAAACTTGTTCCAGCTGGGGAGAAAGAGAGGAAGCAGCCAGCACTTGGTTGTATGGGCTTCTGCCTTTTGGCTGCCTCAGGCACTCGGTTGTGTGGAAGTTGTGCCATTAAACACCTTGAACCTTGAACCTTACTGCATATGAACAATTTATTGATTACAGTGTGACTGCTGGAGATAATTTTTGCTCACTAAACAAGGGAAACTGCTGTTCTTGCAGCTCCTGCCATGGAGCTAATCAAAACCCTCATGATCTTGAAGGACTTCGCAACTTGTCTTGTCGAGGAATTATGGTATGGAACTTCTGCCGATCTCTTAAGACCCCAGCTCTCAACAGAACTTTCTTTGCTTTCCGATGGGGGAGTAGACAGGGGCGGGGAGCCACTGCCGCCCTTGTTGCCTTCATAAAACTAACACGCCTGTTTAGCAGGAGGCTCCAGCGGTTCTGACATAAATATATAATCTTCAATTTGATGAACACACACAAAGCATCACAAAATGCTGGCAGAGCAGTTTTCAACAGATGAAGCCATGTAGAAACTCAACTTATTGGGCAAACTTCACCTCAGCATTACTGGACATACTGAAGGATGCGCTCTGGCACATAATGCGCGTGCCCACAGCTGCCTTCAGAGTGGTGCAACCAGTCCATGCCACATGCAAATCAGAAATTCAGAGCCCACATCTATTGTGCACATGCATGATGGAGTGGTGCATGTGAGCAGCTCACTAGCTATCTAGTAGTTTCAGTTATGGCACAGCTTGGGCTCGCCACGATGCGTGCTTTGTTTTGGAATGTGGCACTTTTTTCAATTTTTTTAACACTGACCAATCGAAGCTGTATGTTCTTGGTTGGGCTACTGTTATATTTATTTTGCTTCTTTTTTTTTTTGAGTTTGTGAATTTCAGTAGGTACAGTTTTTTTTATATTATTAAGGTTTAATGGTACTTTATAGTAAATGAGCTTCATGTAGAGCTGTAATTACAATATTTAATCAATGGTGTCCCCAAACTTAGAGGTCACCTGCATTTGCTAACTTCTAAAGTTGTGAAATAAACTATGATATACGGTAGTCAGCATTGAAATACAATAGGTTGCTCAAACTAATTAAATATTAAGAACGTTCCTAACATATTGTATACCAATTGGACGAATGCCCCCCGATATCCCCCGAATGTCTCCGATGTCGGAGGCCCCAATCTAAAAATTGGGGGCCTCCGATATCGAAGACATCTGATCTGTGGGAGAAGGGTCGGAGAAGGACGTTCCAGAGAAATCCTGGACGCACTTGAGGTAGCGTCGTACATCTACGCGAATTACGGTTCAGAACAGTTGTTGCTCGTGAGGCTGCTTTGTTCTTATCCGTTCGTGGTTGAGTCTCGGAGAGAGGGCATTGAATAAGTTTTTAAGAACTCCCATGTTCTCTTTCAAATCTCTTCTCAAAAGGCAGTATGGCCTCATTCTCCGTGGAAAGGGGAATGCCGTCGAACTTAGAACAGTGGAGGGCCGAGATGCGGCCAGGCTTGACGATGACCCGTTTGCTACTGTCATGTGGGCTGTCCGGCACCGTCTGGTAGAGTCCACGCGTATTAGCACTCGGCGCTTTCCACTGACTCCCCTTTGCACCAACAATCTGACTGGCATCATAGACCTGCAAGGATCATGGGAAGATGATCTGTTTGCTAAGCGTGTCGAGGCACTTGAGGCAGAGCAGGACCCGCTCATCAGGGACCTGCTGGAGGCCAGAGCGGCTTGGGTTGCCGACCCGAGCCTCATTAACCCTATGGCCTTGTCCACCACTATAACTCGTGCCTTTGGCACTCACAGAGTGCGTCGTGTCTTTCCGGATCTA